GTACAATTTGTCATTATGTCTGGCGTATGTCGGCTATGGGAAAGCCTTTGGTTCCGTCGAAATTTGGGCGGTGCTGCAGTACCTTAGCGCGGCAACTCATTGCTAAGCCACTGCGCCACGGAGCTGTCTTGATTTTGATACTTAATTGAGGATAAATGTACCATCAGGTGTACTGTGTACTCGCTTGTCACTTTTCTTCTATAAAAAAAACCTTGGATAAATTATTATGATACCTTTGTCCAAGCTCTTTTTTACGTGGTAGAGCCATGGTGCAGCTATATTATTGTTGTAGCAGTAGCACGAATGGGTCGGCTCGACCGGTGAAGGACCACGCTCTCACAGAAAACCAGCGTAAATTAGCAGCTTAAATGCTGCTGTGTTTCGTATGGTGAGTGTAGAGAACCGGATTCGTGCTACAACTATACCAGTAATATAGCTGCAGCATGGCTCTACCACGTGGTTTTACGTGGTGCAGCTAAACTGTAGCTGTATTATGATTGGATTTCTTAGGTTCTTATGAAATAACAATAAAATTTAATGAACCAGTCCTTTTTTAATTATCATTCTTTAATTGCAACTTTCAATGAAAAACAAAATTAAACAAAACACTAATGACAAAAAAATAAACTTTAATTTAAATGTAACAAAAAGTAATTCATATTTAGTAATTATTCGATGGCGGTAGTTGGGGCGGGCGAAACGGAAACCAACACATGACAAATGTAAAAAAATAGTAAAATTTGACTCTGGCGCAAAAAACCTACAGCGATCGGAAGTCCGAGGTTGCACGAAGTGAATCGAAGTACCTCTCTACAATATTCGCCGCGTCCAACTTCGATCTACTTCACGAGTAGTGTAGAGGAGGCATTAACCCATTTCTTAGTTGATAGTTCATTTTTTGTATTTGGTTATTGCGTATCGTTAGTATGTTACTATGTTTTTTTTTTCATTATATAATAGTACAGAACCCTCGGCGTTTGAGTCATCCATGCACCATGAAGGGTTTTAATGATGAAATTTTACCTTAAAGTAAAAAATATATGACTATTAAATTATTCACAGTATTGTGATTAGTAAAATTAAAATAAGACCCAAAATAATAAAGCTTCAAATCGATTAAATTACCAACTTACTCAGCTTTGAAACAATTGTAGAAAATGATTCTTAGTAAACGAAGTCACGGGCACAGCTAAATTTATATGAAAATCGTAGTACTTTAAAACGTTTAATGATTTCCTTAAGCATGTAGTCATCACCATCATCATCATTACAGCCCTTCACAAGTTCACTGCCGAACATAGGCCTCCCACAATGCATGCCACAAAGCACGGTTCTGAGCCACCTGCATCCATCGACTTCCTGCATTTATTACCAGGGTGTCACTCTATCTAGTGGCAACACTTCGCTTAGCAGCTACGAGGCTGCCACTTGAGGATCTTTATTCATCATCGGTGGTCAGTTCTTCGAGCTATATGGCCGGCCTATTGCCACTTCAGCTTACTATTCCGTGGCGTATAGTATCTTAAATTAATAATATTGACGCAGCGATTCGGATAGCTAGAGAATAAAGAAAAATCGACACGCAATTTGACCATGCAAAAATTCTCATTTATTCAAAATGTCCGATGTACTTTAATGGACCCATTCTCCTCGTTACAGCTAAGGGTAATAAGTCTTGAAACTGAACTGCGTTTTGCTCCCCTAAAAACGAAGTTTGATTATTTTTATTCGATAGAACCGGTGGCACAATGGAGCGTTTCAAATTTCGCTAGAAATTTGCGTTTTTGCATAAAATGGACGCGGGGCGGCGCGTGCGCGACACATTAAAACGCGCCGTAACCATAGATATGGCGGGACTTACTGATTTGTATATTTATTGTAGATAATATTATTTTCTTATCTTAAGACAGTGCGGTTTATCATCTAGGGCTTCATCACCACTTACCACCAGGTGAGATTGTGGTCAAGCACTGGCTTATAATAAATTAAAAAGAAAAATTATGTTTTTAAAATATTCTCTATTAGTAATTATGTAAACATATGGTATTGGATGGATTTATTATATTTACGCGAACAGTACACATTGAATAAAACTACTTTTACGGATTCTATCGCGTTTAATTATACTAATTTTTAAATTCCCTATTTTTAATATCATCCTATATCAATAGTCTCACGTATCATGATGATACATCCCACGATGATACGTGGCTATTAAAATTAAAAAATACGTAATTTCAATAGAGAGGGAGGCTGGTTACTACGACCTGCTTGGGATCCTGTAATTAATAAAATTAAAATGAAGTCCAAGCATACCACTGTAAGTCTTCAAGACACATTAAGTTCATTCTGCGTAGATCGGACCAAAACTAATAATTAAAAAAGCTGAAGGTACTCCGAGCTAACTCTGACATTGGGACGTCAATTACCTTAGTCCCCGTGACCATGGGTGCTGTAAAGCACTCGAAACGTCGAGAATTTAAAAATAAGTTATATAAACTCGATAGAATCCGTAAAAGTAGTCTTATTCAATAAGTTACTGATTTTTAAAACTTCTTGTTACTTATATAAATTGATGACTTATCGTTTTCAGTGTTTACGATTAGTTACGATTTATTTGTAAGCTTTTGGAGGTACACCTTTTTAGTTTTTCGAATTATTTTATTACTTATTATACCTTGTACTATTTGTCCTTGATTCATAAACCCGAAGTTAGATAATAGAAAATAGTGTTTTTTTTATTGTTTTTTTTGTTCATCATAAACAAACGTCTTAATAAATGTTGTTTTTTAATCTCATCGGGATTTCTCTGTTAAAACCAAAACATGGCCACCCTACACTGCATTGTAACTGGAGCGCATTGTTGCAACGGGATTAATAAAAGCGATACAGTTTCCGAGTTTTTTCCACAAATTTAAATGGACTCCCCCATCCACTACAATGGTTTGCCATTTGCATTGGCCCCGTCGCGGCTGCATATTTTATTTTATGACCGATGGGGAATCGAAAATGTAAATCGACGCGAAATGCAATTATTTATGCATTTTTTTTAACGAATAGCCATTAACATTTTATATACACCGTTTTTACATTCTGCCGTGATAGCTCATGGGCGAATTTTTTTTTTTTTATAGAATAAGGGTGACAAACGTGCACACAGTCCACCTGATAGTAAGTGGTTGCTGTGGCCCATAGACATCTACATCTATCCTCGATTACGAATCTAAATGCAGATGCGTTGTAAGCCGTAAGGACTAAGATGGAATGCCTCGTTTCTAGTAAAAAGGGTCTCCGTTCTCTACACTAAACATATGAAAGACAGCGGCGTTCAGCTGCTATTTTACGCTGGTATTCTGTGAGAGCGTGGTCATACCCCGATCGAGCCAACACATTCGTGCTACAACCATAATAAAGTTGCACCGTGGCTCTACCAAGTCTATCCGTACATCCGTACGTCTTTCGTACCGTGGCGCAGTGGGCTTGTGAACGAATTTAACGAATTCGTACAGCTTCGTGGCTTCGCATCGAGTTGCGGCGGTGAGGACCGCGGGTTCGAATACCGCACGGAATAAGTATTTGTATGGCACACAAATAATGATGATGCGAAAAATTTATAATCTCAAACCTAATTAAAGTTACATCAATAGATTTACTCAGGCAAAGTCGAGGCGGATCTATAAGTATTGAATTGAATAATTTGATTGGAAACAGCGGCCTTTCCACGAGTATCTAGGGAACGCAAGACGTTATACCTAAGGAACATACAGTCTAAAAATGTTTTTAACTATATAACAATACATTGTTTTTATAGAAGATGGGGCAAAAGAGCATGCGGCTTAATTGATGTCTAACTACCGCCGTCCAAGAATAACTGTAGCACCAAGGGAACTGCAGGTGCCTTGCCGGCCTTTTAAAAAGTAGTAAGCTTGTTTCTTAAAGGTCTTCGTATCGGCCCGGAAAAATCACCGGTGGTAAACGATTCCACAAAGAGGTCGTGCGAGAAAAAAAACTCCGAGTAAAAGGCACAGTGGTCAACACCAAGCATCCTGATTTTGTGGATGGTATCGTGAGTTTTGTCGCGATGTGCCTTGGTGAAATTTGGCGGCTGGAATTAATTCTAGAAATTCCGCACCGCACTCCCCGAGGTGAATGCGATAGAAAATGCAAAGGGAAAATGCATCCCTTCGCAGCGCCAGTGTATCGAGCCGATCAGAAAGAACTCGGTCGACGATTCGAGCCACTCTGCGCTGGATATGGTCAAGTGGAAGGAGCTGGCACTGTCTATAAAACACAATATGTGTGATCACAACATGTATAGTTCAATGTCATTAAGCCACTCAACACATGTCATGTTGCGCAGCGCGCACCGCAACACCGCAGTCTAGAGTCGCTCGACACCCCTTCGATGTCGCAGCGTCTTGCCTAAGGCCGCTAAAATGCATGTACAAACTAAACTTTTATGATTTCCTCATATATATCTTTATATATATATATATATATATATATATATATATATATATATATATATATATATAATGCTTCTGTACGTGTGTATGTGACTGACTCCTCCTAAACGGCTGTACCGATTTTGATGAACTTTTGTGTGTGTGATTAAGTTGATTCGAGAATGGTTTAGATTCACAATTGAACCCGTTAGATGGCGCTGTTGTCGTGATCCAGGAATCACCCGTGCGAAGCCGGGCCGGTTTGCTATTTAATCATGTAGCTATTGTATATTATGTTAATGTAATAGCAGTCAGGTAAAACCTGCGTGTTGTTTTCCACTTGTAGCTCCAAATCACAGATAAAACAGCGCCATTGAAAGATCCTGAAAAGAAAAATTAAAAGTGACAGACGCTCTGACACATTACTTGTCAAATTACAAAAACGAAAACGTACCTAATTAAAGTCAACTCTTTTTAACTTAATGAAAAACTATATATTAGTTATACTTTCAACATTTGTGTTATCCATGTACTAATAAAGATATATCGAAGACAATGACCCAGGCGGCTCCCATCCCGGCGGTGCCGGGCCACGTCTACGCAGATCTGGTGAAAGGACCCGTCAGTAGCGCCATACCAGTGACACAATTGTCTCAGGTTTTCATTTGTGCTACCAGTTTCCAGTTTATTAATCAGTGATTTGTATTGATATCTTCGTCTAGTAGGTGTCGAAAAAGTCACCCAAGTGATATAGTAGATAATGGGAAAACTTGTGGCCGCCGACAAATGATCAGATCTATTGCAATTAACGTTTACATAGTAGAGCCACGCTGCAGCTATATTTTGGATACAGCCGATATAGATCAGCTCGTTCGGGAAAGAATCACGCTCGCGTAGAATGGCAGCATAAAGTAACAGCACAATAATGTTGTTTTTCATGTGATGATTGAGTCGAAGAGTTTCTTCAGTCATCATTACAGCCTTTCATAAGTCCACTGCTGAACATAGGCTTCCCCCAAGGAATGCCACAAAGCACGGTCCTGAGCCACATGCATCCATCGACTTCCTGCATGTCTTACCAGGTCGTCTCTCCATCTCGTGGGGGGTCGCCCTACACTTCACCTACCGGTACGAGGCTGCCACTCAAGAATCTTTCTTCCCCATCGGTTGTCGGTTCTTCGAGCTATATGGCCGGCCCACTGCCACTTCATTTTACTAATCCGTTGGGCTATGTCGGTTACTCTGGTTCTACTGCGGATATCCTCATTTCTAAGTTTATCACGCAGAGAAACTCCGAGCATAGCCCTCTCCATAGCTCACTGAGCGACCTTGAGCTTCCTCATACGGCCAGCAGTGAAGGACCACGTCTCAGATCCGTAAGTCATCACTGGCAACACACACTGGTTGTATAATTTCGTTTTAAGGTTTTGAGGAATTTCTGACGAGAAGATGTGTCGTAGCTTCCCGAACGCTGCCCAGCCGAGTTGAATCTGTCGATTGACCTCTCGGTCGAAGTTGGACTTACCTAGTCGGACTATTTGTCCCAGGTAAACATACTCGTCAACAACTTCGAGCTTAGTGCTCCCAACAACTACCGGCATAGGTGTGACATGGACATTGAACATGATCTTTGTTTTGTCCATGTTCATCTTAAGACCTATCCGTTGGGAGACACTATTGAGGTCATTGAGCATGGTGCTTAGATCATCCAGCGATTCTGCTATAAGGACTATATCGTCGGCAAATCGAAGGTGAGTGATGTACTCGCCATTGATGTTAATACCGTATCCTTTCCAGTCCAGAAGCTTGAAAACGTCTTCCAATGCAGCAGTGAAGAGTTTCGCGGATATAACGTCACCCTGTCTTACACCTCTCTGCAAATGGATAGGTTTCGTACTTTGGTTCTGTACTCGGATAGCTATCGTAGCCCTACTGTATAAGCACTTCAGCACTTCGATATACCGACAGTCAACTTAGCACCGCTGAAGGGACTGCAGCGCCGCCCAAATTTCGACGGAATCAAAGGCTTTTTCATAGTCCACATACGCCAGGCATAGTGGCAAATTGTACTCCTCGGACTTCTGTACAACGTGCCGAAGGGTATGTATGTGGTCTATGGTGCTAAAGCCCTTTCGGAAACCGGCTTGTTCGGGAGGCTGGAAGTCGTCAAGTCGAGACGATTCGTAATGACTCTCGAAAACAGCACGTAGACGCGGCTCAGAAGGGAAATCGGTCTGTAGTCCTTCAAGAGGGCGTTGTCACCTTTCTTGAAGAACAAGACCACCGCAATTCTGCTCAACGTCTCTGGTGTAATGCCACCATGAAGGACGGAATTAAAGAGCTTCTGAAGGACTTCAAGTACCGGTTTTCCACCCGCTTTCAGAAGCTCCGCTGTAATTCCATCCTCGCCTGGGGACTTGCCGTTTTTAAGATGCTGGAGGAGCCATTCTAATCTCGCTCAGACTGACGTCCGGGATATCTTCAGTAACCACACAAAATACACTTTATCATTTTACAAAAGTAAATTAAGCAATTTTTTAATACTTAAGGACCTGTAAATGCTCTGCCACATTTCAATCAGCTGGTACAACCATGCTGCAGATATATCATGGCTGTATCACGAATTGATCGCCTCGACCGTGGCAGGACCACGCTCTCACAGAATACCGTAAAATAACAGCTTAATGCTGCTGTGAATGTAGAGTAACCAATACATTTTTTGCTGGATACGAGGCATTCCATGGGTTGCATCTGCATTTTGAATCTTAATCGAGGATAGATGTAGATGACTATGAGCCACAGTATCCATTTACCATCAGGTGGAATGTGTGCTCGTTTGTCATCCTTATCCTATAAAAAAAACTTAGGTCTACCCCATAGATAGGGGGTATATTTATGGGGTATATTCCGCGGTAGGGAAGATTTTTTAAAAATAAAAGCTGCTTCCATACTAGAATTTTCTCTTGTATCGTGGTGGCAGTTTACATACATAAATTTCACAAGGACAAACATTCAGATCTGTAACAATTATTTGTAGGCCACACTAATACTTGTTCCTTGCACGATTCGAACCCACGGCCCGTTGTCCTCAACTCATTGCTAAGCCAAGTTAAAAATCAAGATTAACCTTATTTGTCACGTCTGCCTGTTGTCATTATAAGCTACTGATGATGAAATGAAAAACCCTTGTAAATTAGGAGGAGGTTGACACAGTGCCATCACTTCTTGACGATCTGTCATCAGTGGACCGATTGTTAATCACCAAGCGACTCCGGGTCAAAAGCGTGATCTTCCTGAGGGGCAAGATGAATAGATTCTTCGTCAGAACACCTGATCGCAACCTTGTCTATACTGTTGAAGAGGAGAATAGGTAAGCTGGTTCTATTAGACGTGTAAGAATTTAGTTTGTAAGTATTGATAAGAGTATATACGCCGGCACAAATTAGACAATGCAATATTATGTATTTTATAATGATTTCTTATATTTACTCGAACACTACACATTTAAATAAAACTAATTTTACGGATTTTATCTCGCGTATATTAACTTATTTTTATTCCCGACGTTTCGAGCACTTTCCAGCACCCATGGTCTCGGGGGTACTGAGGTGTATGACGTCCCAATGTCATAGTTAACCACTTTAACCACACACACTAGTTTAATCTGGAGGTAGCCGTGGTTAACTATGACATTGGGACGTTATAAACCTCAGTCCCCCCCCCCCCGTGACCATGGGTGCTGGAAAGTGCTCGAAACGGCGGGAATAAAAATAAGTTTATATACGCGATAAAATCCGTAAAATTAGTTTAATTTAAATTAAGTATTTTACTTAAATATCCCACTGGCTACACTGCTCTAGGGTCCATTACACACATCACTATCCTATGATCTATAATTGTATAAACGTGTCGCGCTAAACTGTTTAACCAAATAATTTGTCATGCTCTTATTGTATCAGTCACTTTGAAGCATATCGATAACTGCCCAAGTAGCACGCAAGTGGTACAACAAAGTGCTACAGCAGCCGCTTAAGAGGTATATGTAATGCTTAGAGAACTACCCATTTGCTTCTATGCCACTGAAAAGGGTCCACTTTATACGGGCTTCGGTGCTACAGTAATGGTACGATAGCGGCATGGTGAGTTTGTAAAGCGATACAAAGGTTTTTTTTTATAGGATCGGGTGACAAACGAGCACACAGTCCACCTGATGGTAAGTGGTTACTGTGACCCATAGACATCTACATCTATCCTCAATAAAGACTCAAGATGCAGATGCGTTGTCACCCGTGAGGACTAAGATGGAATGCCTCTTTGCCAGTAAAAAGGGTCTCCGGTTCTCTACACTCACCATACGAAACACAGCAGCGTTAAGCTGCTATTTTACGCTGGTTTTCTGTGAGAGCGTGGTCCTTCCTCGTTCGAGCCGACCCATTCGTGCTACAACCATAATATAGCTGCAGCATGGCTCTACCACGTAGAAAGAGGTGCATGAAATTTGGAGCTATAAAATCTACAAGAAGTTCTTGTGCCACCTTTATAGAATTAGTATATGATTGTGACGCGACTGTAACTCGGTAACTAAATCTTGAAGCATCTTAAAGGTATTTTTTTTTACATAATTACTTATAAAATTATTATAGTGACAGAACATAAGTGACAAAATATCAAATTGATCGCGATGTTTTATGGTGGTAAATAGTTAAAAAGTGTAAATGAAGATAATATAGTGACTTAAGTGGCTTCCCATTCGTCAGCGACGAAGTGTGCGCGCACTCACAACCCTATACTCCATTCTGATGTCTCCTACTCCCCCTCTTACTTAAGTTCTCATTTTCAGTACCTTTGCTCTAGCCACGACAGAAACCTGCGTTCTTCGAACAACCTTTCACTAAAGTGTCCCTCTCACAAATAAGGCTTCCTACATTCTTCCTTCACTGTACAGTCTGTTCTCGTCTGGAACGCACTCCCTCTTGAAATTAGAACGGCTAACAATCGTTATGCATTCAAGAAGAAAGTTCGCAAACATTACTTAAATAAACTGGCAGAATCATCTTATTTGTAGTATTTATTTATGTATTTACATAAATATATAATTATATAATGTATGTAATTTATTATTTTATGTATATAAGTAATATATAATACTATGCATATATTAAATAACTATAATTTTACATGTTTACGTAAAATACTAGTGCGAACATCATTTTTCTGTCAAAATATACATAATTTTTCATGTGCACGCGAATCCTGTGAAATCTGCTATAATTCATCTTACTAAAGTGCTTTAAAATTTTAAGGTTCATTTCTTCATTCATTGGTTCATTCTCATCTCTATCTCATTTTGCTAATTCTGCAAAACGATTTTTTTATAGTATAGGGTGACAAACGAGCACACAGTCCACCTGATGGTAAGTGGATACTGTGACCCATAGACATCTACATCTATCCTCAATAAAAACTCAAGATGCAGATGCGTTGTCACCCGTGAGGACTAAGATGGAATGCCTCTTTGCCAGGAAAAGGGTCTTCGGTTCTCTACACTCACCATACGAAACACAGCAGGGTTAAGCTGCTATTTTACGCTGGTTTTCTGTGAGAGCGTGATCCTTCCCCGGTCGAGCCGACCCATTCGTGCCACAACTATACTACTAATATAGCTGCAGCATGACTCTACCACGTATAAAAGTACTATTAAGATTCTCATATATCTACGAGTATTGTAAAGTTGTAGACTACATAGTACTACTTAGTATTATATCGAGTGCTATATGCAATATTTGTATCTCAGTTGAAGCGCTTTTAACTTCGTTATTCCGCTATTAGATCGTATAGTGTTAACAAGTATATTTATAACTCAACTTTATATCAAATATATGTAAGGCCTGTACAAAAGCTCTACAAATCCCTTTTTTAACTCCAAAGCTATTATCGTCATAACTTGTTTTTTTATAGAATATGAGTGACAAACGAGCATATAGTCTATCTATCTGATGGTAAGTGGTTTCTGTGGCCCACACAATAGAATAGAATGGACAATTTTTTATTCAATATAGACCACATGGAAAGACATTTTTACTTTACCACTGGTTCGAAAAAAAAACCTCTGCCCTGTGAAGAACCAGCAAGAAACCCAGCGGAACTTTTTTTTAAAAGCATATTTTACATTAATGGTTGTAGAAATATAAGTACAAAATTTATTTTAGAAACAGCTTGGAAGCGACCACCCCATTCCCAGGGGTTATTATCAACCATGTATTCATTTATACTATAATAACCCTTTTTATACAGTTTCAACTTAACAAAACATTTAAACTTGGTAATAGAGAGAGCCTGTACACCTTCCGGGACCTTGTTGTAATAGTGTATACATTGCCACAAGAATGAATTAATGACTCTGTAGAGTCGAGAAACTGGTATCACTAGCTTGTGTTTGTTCCTAGTGTTTACAGAATGTATATCACTTTTTTACTAAAACTACCTTTATTTTTGTGAACATAAAATTGTCGTAAATATACTGAGAGGCCAAAGTTAATATATTTATTTCTTTAAATTTATCTCTAAGAGACTTTCGGTTTTAGGTAGGTAGGTAAAACAAAAATAGATTCTGAATCACCGCATTTCCCCATAGCAAAATCTCGTAAGACATTATGCTATGGAAATAACTGAAATAAACTAATTTAGCTGTGTCGACACTAGTGAGACCTCTAATATTTTACAGCATAGGCTACAGAACTTAGTCTGCTTGCTAGTTTGGACTTATGAGGGCCCGACTGAAGCTCTGCGTCGAGAGTGATGCCAAGAAAAACAGTGGATTCAACAGGGCTCAGACATCTATCTTCAGTTAAGAATCAAAATGCAGATACGTTATCACACCTGAGGACTAATATGGAATACCTCGTTTTCAGTAAAAAAAGGAGGTGGCCAGCAGATAAAAACACCTGATAACAACATAAAATAATAAAAAACTGCCGTTGCCAACCATCCTGGCAATCGTGGCAACTATGGCTTACCTCATTGTGGGGATTTTGTGGTAGCTGTTTGACAAGTGGGTTGGCGACCACAGTTTTTATTACTTTGAGGTATTGTTGTTACAGTTACCCTCTGTCGCCTCCTACAACGCTCACGGAACGATATGGGGTAGTGAGTCTCCTTAAGTCTGGATGCAAATTGAATAAATTGTAATAAATTTTTAGAATTGAGTGTATTTTCCAGCTGGTGGGTAGGTTACTTCTGCTACGGTCTCAGGCCTCTCCAGCTGCGCGTAATGAACAGCCTCGGTCTCGAAGTGATGAGGATAAACCGGCCGTACGCCTGCACGGCGCGGGTGTTGCCGTGCCAGCTGCAGCACTTGGACGTGTTCTCGCCACCTGGTCGCCTCATTGGAACTATTGAGCAGCAGTGGGCTGCTGTGAGACCATTGTATCTCATCAAGGATGAGAACGGCCGGGAGTTGTTCTGGATACGCGGTGAGATTTGGTAAAAATTTTGATGGGTTTTTATATATAGTGGGTGACGACAAGCGAAGCCTAATGAATGGCATCCACGAATTTTTCTTTTTTATATAGGATAAGGGTGACAAACAAGCACACAGTCCACCTGATAGTAAGTGGTTGCTGTGACCCATAGACATCTACATCTATCCTCAATAAAGAATCAAAATGCAGATGCGTTGTCACCCGTGAGGACTAAGATGGAGTGCCTCGTTTCCAGTAAAAAGGGTCTCCGGCTCTCTACACTCACCATACGAAACACAGCAGCATTAAGCTGCTATTTGACGCTGGTATTCTGTGAGATCTGCCACTAGGAAAAAAATATTCGACAGATTTCATGATAGGGAACTTAATTTGTTAGGTAAATGTAAGCGATTATGTTTCTTTCTGTTATATTTTAGGTACAATAATTAGATTAGTAATGAATAAACTAAACTACGGATATTGTTAAAAGTAAATAATTTGAAATTAAATTTTTTTTACAACCGACTTCAATAGAAGTTATTAAGAATAACTCTTTTTAAAACTATTGGTCTGACCTTGATCAAATTCATATGGGACTACACAGAAGTATCAGTTTTCAAATAAAAAAGAATCATCGAAATCGCTTCACACAGTAAAAAATTATGAGGTAACACACATAAAAAAAACCGGCAAAGTACGAGTCGGACTCGCGCACCGAGGGTTCCGAACAAATCTGTTAAGTAAGTTATATAAGTTTAAAATTATTAAAAATATTTTTATTATAGGATGTAACTAAAAATTTATGCTTTTCGCAATTTTTCCTTTATCTGTGCTATAAAACGTTGCTTCGTATCAAATTTCAAGATTCTGAGTTCACGGGAAGTACCCTGTAGGTTTTAATTCCCTTGCGAATGTCGAAAATTTACGGCATAAACGGCTGTATCTTTAGATTGCGTTGGCTTAGGAGTTTGATTTTTTCACAGCTCTAAGGGACAGTAGACTTGAGTATTTGATATGAATTTCAGCTTGATACCTCCACGCGTTCCTGAGAAAAAGGGTCTTGACAGACAGACAGACAGACAGACGGACGGACAACAAAGTAATCCTATAAGGGTTCCGTTTTTTCCTTTTGAGGTACGGAACCCTAAAAACATACAGTCGAATTCAGTACCGTCTCCGAATAATATAGATTATTAAATTATCTATCCATTAGTGTAATCCTCAAATGATTAGAGCGTTGCCTTTAGCAACAGATGCATGTAACAATAATTTTAGTCATTCTTTAAAACTAGATTTTAAATGTATTTATAACACATAAAAACACACTAGAAAGTGGAATGTGATGATAGGATATCGATCATTAATAATGTGCTTTTAGATGTAGTTTATTTGTCATAACTAATGAGATAATAGTTACTGAAAAACGCACTATCGCAAGCTTTTGGTCGGGGTATCGCCTTAAAGCGATATTCTTCTTACATTAATGGAGCAATTGTAGCTCAGTAGCTAAGCACTGTTCGTAAATATAACAGTATATGAGTTATCCGGGTTCGAATCCCGCGGCATTCAAAAAAAAATTAATTGCAATTATTTAAAGTAATGATTTATCACAAAATCTTTTAAGCGTGCAGATAGGCCATTTATTGAATACTTCATCATGTGGGCATTTTTTAAACTATATCATAAGTAAATGGTTGACCACTATCCAGCATAATGGTTATCTTATAGAAAAAGAGTGTCAAGCCAAGTGGAGTGGTAGAGCCATGCTGCAGTTATATTAATAGTATAGTTGTAGTACGAATGGGTCAGCTCGACCGGTGAAGGACCACGCTCTCACAGAATACCAGCGTAAAATAGCAGCTTAATGCTGCTCTGTTTCGTATGGTGAGTGTAGAGAACCGGAGACCCATTTTACTGGAAAAGAGGCATTCTATCTTAGTCCTCACGACTGACAACGCATCTGCATTTTAATTCGCAAACGAAGATAGATGCAGATGTCTATGGACCACAGCAACCACTTCCCATCAGGTGGACTGTGTGCTTGTTTATCCCCCCATCCTATAAAAAAATGGATTGCCTCACAGCCTGTAATGGCTCTCTGTTCTTCTTCAGACCGGAACACAGCAGTGCTAATACTACTATTTGGCAGGCAGAAGAAATAGGCCAGAGGATGGTACCTACCGAGACGGCCTTAAAAGAAAAAAGGAGACCGATCACCTAAAGTCAAGTTCAACCACCCTATTTTTTATATGCAGGTCCTTTTATAACGCTGAGCCTGTTCCGTGACGTGGAGTTCCCGATGCAGCGGCCAGATGGCACGCCGGTGGGCAGCACCTGTAAGCGCTGGCAAGGGCTCGTACACGCCCTGTTGTTCGCACCGATTACAGACAGGTGAGCGAATTATGTGTCCATGGTTTTTTTTTACAGAATAACGGTGACAAACGAGCACACATTCCACCTGATGGTAAGTGGATGCTGTGGCCTATAGGTAATATATCACGCGCTTTAATAAACAGTCACCTAGTTTTAAAGACAAACATGATAACTTCGTAAATGTATAGTGACGGGAGGGGTAATATATCAAGTCTTTTAAATACTGGTTTAGAGGATTCCTCTGGCAACATCCCGCGCTTTGCACGAATGCATTTTATGGGCAACGAATACCGTATTTCGGATAGTACCTGTTACGGCCTACGGCTGCTCCCCTAAAGCTCAAATCAGGGGCCCATTCAGCTGAGTTTCGACGAGCAAACGTAGGTTGGGCCTCCTAAGGCCAAAGTGGAAAATCTCTAGTTACACTAAACTATATGGGGGAGACATCGATTCGACATCAGCGTTTGGCGCGAACAGTACCATTACCCCATATTATAATTCCATAGCGTAGAACGGACACTACGTATGCGTGGTACGTTGCTATTGTCGTTTTAACATTTGTTTTTGACGTGTTTATAAATTTATTTACAAATTTATTAATTCTACTGCATACACATTGACCCTCAATTAAGTACTTAATCAAAATGCACAAATTCTCATATTGATTATTTAATTCTTAACTGATTGAATTCACACCGAGGACTAAGATGGAATGCCATATTTCCAGTAAAAAGGGTCTCGTTTTCTCTACACTACCCATACGAAACACAGCATCATTAAGCTGCTATTTTACGCTGGTATTCTAGTATGAGACGTACTCCTACCTCGGTCGAGCCGAACCGTTCGTGCTACAACCATGATATTATAGCTGCAACGTGACTCTGTCACTTATAAAAATACATCAATATCCAGTCAGGTTCATTAAAAAATATTAAGCAATACAAAGTGTTCGGCAATGTTAAAAATTCGAGACAGGGTCGCCATGGGAGGTGTAACGAATGTATGTTGGAATAATACTCTCTTTATTTAGAAAGGCTCAGTTATATAATTAGGTAATGATCACATGATCGACATCACCTAATGGCACATTTAGACATTTCCGGATACATACATCCAGATACGTCTGTCCGAATAAAACCTGCGCGTCTTGAAGGTACGAGTGAATAATCTTTTGTTACGTTAAGACAGTACGATTTACCATCTTGGTCTTCATCACCACTTACCACCAGGAGGGATTGTGGTCTAGCACCAGCTTACAGTAATTAAAAATATTACTTGCATCACATGACCAATGGAGTAAGTAGTTCCTAGAGTATTTATATAGTAACAATACCATGACACATATAACAGTTGGTAATGTGGCAATGTTCTGGCATGTAGCTCAAAGAACCGATGGGGTAGAAAATGGGGCAGCCTCTTACTGGTAAATAATTTAGTTATTTGACATCCTACATAGTCAATTCGATGGCTCGGTTTTTTTTACAGAATAAGGGTTACAAACTAGCACACAGTCCACCTGATGGTAAGTGATTGCTGTGGCCCATAGACATCTACATCCATCTTCAAAATGGTTGCCGGTTCTCTACACTCACCATACGAAACACAGCAGCATTAAGCTGCTATTTTACGCTGGTATTCTGTGAGAGCGTGGTCCTTCCCCGGTCGAGCCGACTCATTCGTGCTACAACTATACTATTAATATAGCTGTAGCAAGGTTCTACCACGTATAAAAGTGGGTAAGCGATGAGTTGCAGCTGGAATCCAGCACGGAACAAATTTTTTTTTTCATTTTGGATATTTGTCTTTGTGAAATTTATGTATTTAATCTGTCTGTAACGTATCATAGTGTGTAAGTAAAGGTTTTTCAAACGGAAATAAATATTTCTAAGGGCTGTCAAAATGAAAAAACTCGGTATTACGAGTAAATTGCATGAGAGTATAGTGTAATGATATCATAATTTTTACAGTCATATAATGAGGGCTAATAATTTTCTGCTCACCAGATGTCGCTAGTTGATACTGAGGTAAAGTTTTTTGTTACACAATGTAATTTAATTGAGAAGTTGGTTTTTAATAAAAGTTTATCAGTTTCTTGAGTATTATATTAATTCACAAAACACTCTTTAATTTTTTTACACATTTTTAACTTTTTTTTTAATTTTTCTGCTTTATGAATATCTGTGGTTTGGTTAATTTATTTTTAATCTTATTAATATAAAATATAGCTAATAGCACAGGAAGAAACAATAAATTTTACATTTTCCGAACAAATTAACTTCCCCGCTATGAAATCGGTCAAACATTATACATCACTTTCTACTGGCGCCGCCCTGTGGCAGTTAACGTCACCGCTATGAAATCGGTCAAACATTATACCTCACTTTCTACTGGCGCCGCCCAGTGGCAGAAAAAGTCGTGGATAGCCTCATCATAAAATTTTTGTATACTAAAAATCTAATTTTACTTAAAATAGAAAATCGACCAAGAGTTAAGAAAATATACTAAATGTAGTAATTGCATTTAGAATAATAAAAAATATGATGCAGTAAATTATTAATGATGGTGTCAACTATACAATTGCCGGGTGCTCTCACACTAAATAAAGTGACGGACTGGTAAGTCGATGGATGCAGGTGGCTCAGCCTAAGTTCAGCAGTGAACTTGTGAAGATTGACATATTTTTTATTCATGGTACAGCCTACAAAAGTCCACTGCTGAACACAGACCTCCCTCATAGATTGCCTCATAGGGAGGATATCTGTCATAGTTGTAATGTTACTGTTGATTTGAAAATTTCACCTCTCAGTGGGTCATGTGCTCCTAGTAGATTATCTTCTATACATCCATCCATTACAGTCTATTAAAGTCCACTGCTGAAGATAGGCCTCCCCCATAGATTGCCTCATACATATGGAGGATATCTGTCATAGTTGTAATGTTAATAATGATTTGAAAATTTCACCTCTCAGTGGGTCTTGTGCTCCTGGTAGATTATCTTCTATACATCCATCCATTCATCATCATCATCATCATTACAGCCTTTCATAAGTTCATTGCTGAACATAGGCCTCCCCAAAGGAATGCCACAAAGCAGGGTCCTGAGCCACGTCTGCATCCATCGACGCGGCTACATTTCGCTTTTACCAGTACGAGGCTGCCACTCGAGAACCTTTCTTCTCCATCGGTTATCGGTTTTTCGAGCTATATGGCCGGCCCACTGCCACTTCTGCTTACTAATCCGTTGGGCTATGTCAGTTACTCTGGTTCTACTGCGGATATCCTCATTTCTAAGTTTATCACGCAGAGAATCGCCGAGCATAGCCCTAGCCATAGCTCGCTGCGCGACCTTGAGCTTCCTCATCCGGCCAGAAGTGAAGAACCACGTCTTAGTACCATAGGTCATCACTGGCAACACGCACTGGTTTCACAGTCTTGTTTTCAAGTTTTGAGGTATACCTGACGAGAAGATGTGTTGTAATTTCCCGAACGCTGCCCAACCGAGTTGAATCCGCCAATTGACCTCTCGGGCGAAGTTGGACTTACCTAGTCGGACTATTTGTCCCAGGTAAACATACTCGTTCACAACTTCGAGCTTAGTGTCCCCAACATCTACCGGCATAGGTGTTACATGGACATTAAACATGATCTTTGTTTTGTCCATGTTCATCTTAAGACCTATCCGTTGGGAGACACTATTGAGGTCATTCAGCATAGTGCTTAAGTCCTCCAGCGATTCTGCCATAGGGACTATATCGTCGGAAAATCGAAGGTGAGTGATGTAATCGCCATTGATGTTAATACCGTATCCTTTCCAGTCCAGAAGCTTGAAAACGTCTTCCAATGCAGCGGTGAAGAGTTTTGGGGATATAACGTCACCCTGTCTTACACCTCTCTGCAAATGGATAGGTTTCGTACTCTAGTTCTGTACTCGGATAGCCATCGTAGCCCTACTGTACAAGCACTTCAGCACTTCGATATACCGACAGTCAACTTGGCACCCCTGAAGGGACTGCAGCACCGCCCAAATTTTGACGGAATCAAAGGCTTTCTCATAGTCCACATACGCCAGATATAGTGGCAAATTGTACTCCTCGGACTTCTATACAATTTTCCGAAGGGTGTGTATGTGGTCTATGGTACTAAAGCCTTTTCGGAAATCAGCTTGTTCGGGAGGCTGGAAGTCGTCAAGTCTGCGTGTGAGACGATTCGTAATGACTCTCGAAAGCAGCACTTAGACGCGGCTCAGAAGGGAAATCAGTCTGTAGTTCTACAAGAGCGCGTTGTCGCCTTTCTTGAAGAATAAGACCACTGCACTTCTGCTCCACGCCTCCGGTGTAATTCCACCATGGAGGACGGAATTAAAGAGCTTCTGAAGGACTTACCGGTTTTCCACCTGCTTTCAAAAGCTCCGCTGTAATTCCATCCTCACCTGGGGCCCTGCCGTTTTTAAGATGCTGGAGAGCCATTCTAATCTCGCTCAGACTGACGTCTGGGTTATCTTCGGAATAGTGTTAGATAAGACTCTCTCTTGGATCGTTACTCACACTTGCGTGTGGCTCCAACGATGACGTGTACAGCTGCCCATAGAACCTCTCAATCTCACTCAAAATCTCAGGTGTCTCGGAAACGATGCTGCCACACTCGGTCTTCAGCTTTGACAGTTGGCTCTTTCGAGCAGACAGATCTCTGGCAAAGAATTTGGAGCCTTGGTTCCGCTCAATCGCTTCTTCAATACAGCTTGTATTGAAGTTGCATAAGTCCCGCCGCATGCATTTGGAGATCTGTCTGTTCAGTTGCCTGTATTCGGTCAAATCTGTTGAAGACTGTAGATTCATCTCCTGTCTAACAGCCATGAGATTAAGAGTGTGATCGGAGAGTTTCTATTCTTCTGCGGCGGGTCTTGCAACACTTAGCTCCGACCGCATGGACAGTTTCCACAAGCTTGTCATTCATATCGTCCACTTCATTGGAGTCTTCTAGGCACTGAAAACGGTTTTGTAACTCGAGCTGAAAGGTTTCCAGACATTGGAATAGAGCACGAGGGGGACGGAGCGTTGACTTCATTAGACGAGACCTCTCCAACTTAACGTTTAGGTTCAGTGTAAATCTCACCATTCGGTGATCGCTACCAGTTTTTACCCTCGCGATCACGGAGACATCACTGAACGGTTGTCGTCTGGTCGTCATAATGAAGTCAATCTCATTTTTTGTCGAACCGTCGGGGCTCGACCTCGAGAGTTCATCATAAAGAGTCCCTCTTTCTCCATGAAGTCGGCCAGCTGCTGGCCCCTTGGGTTACGTTGCTCTATTCCAAATTTCCCCACTCTCAGCTCACCGTTCTCTCTTGTGCCTAGTTTTGCATTGAAGTCTCCCATTAACACTGTATATTGGGTCCATCCATCCATTACAGCCTATTAAAATCCACTGCTGAACATAGCCCCCCCCCCCCCCCATAGATTGCCTCATAAGGGGGATTTCGCCATAGTTGCTACGCTTGGCAGGCGGATTGGCAACCGCAGATTTTATATTATTTTAAGTTGTTATCATTAGGATACTGCTGCCAATCCTTTCTGTCGTCTCTCACGACACCCACGGTACGACATGGTATAGTGGATATTCTTACACCGCCATGACAGTATTCTATTGTCGAATAAAATTTAAGATGTAGTTGCGTGGTCATCCGTGAGCACTACTCATACTTACATAGAATGCCTGGTTTGAAGTAAAAAGGCCTGTCCAGCGTAGTGATTTTCCGGATTTAGGTGTCTCATTGTAGAGAGGATTTGACTTAAGGCGTTTCACTGACCAAATAACCTTGAGCATGCAGTGCACCGCCGCCTGCACTATGCGTACGCCCATTTATCATAGAATTCACACAATTTTTGAAATTAATTTTATAAAAGCTTTTACAAAAATTTACTTCGCAAATATCCGCGTTATAAAATAAAATGATGTGTCTTACCTAGTATGAAGAAGCACCTCCCGCCCTCCCTCAATTGCGTGCACTAACCCCGTCACCACTAATCCCAGCACCGCTACTTCCAACACCACTACACTAGGCAAGACACACCACTGACGATAATACGACACGTGTTTCGCCTCTACACGAGGCATCCTCAGGTGATATAGACTCTACGGTGGCTAACCGCTAAGGCTACTTAGTTTTAAGGGGTTAGTGCACGCAATTGAGGGAGGGCGGGAGGTGCTTCTTCATACTAGGTAAGACACATCATTTTATTTTATAACGCGGATATTTGCGAAGTAAATTTTTGTAAAAGCTTTTATATAATGGATTTCCGCAAAGTAACGCCTGATTCTATTAATTAAATTAATTTTAATTAAAAAAGAAAAGTGAACATGAAAAATTAAATAAAACGTGAAGAATATAGATTTTTAAATTATCTATCCACAAGTGTATTCCTCAAATGATTAGAGCGTTGCCTTTAGCAACAGATGCATGTAATCAATAATTTTAGTCATTTTTTAAAAGCAGATTTTAAATGTATTTATAATATAAAACCAAATTAGAACGTGGAATGTGATGATAGGATATCAAACATTAATAATGTGCTTTTAGATGTAGTTTATTTCTCATAACTAATATAATAGTCTCTGAATAACGAAGAAAAACGCACTATCGCAAGGTTTTGGTCGGGGTATCGCCTTAATTGCCGCTTGGTACATTTTGCATGTTTAAGACTGCTTCCAGGTCGTTTCGCCGGATGGATGCCAGTTGTAAACATGATATGATATGAAACTATAAGATCTTTTAGGCATTTTCCATAAATAACCTCTTACGACACCCACTTGACGAAAGAGGGCGAGGGTTTCCAAAAAAAATTGCTGATTCCGAATTTCAGGGACTTGTGATAAACTCGACAGTTCCTGTAGTGTATTCTAACGACAGTTCTTTTTTCTTTCCTGGCGACCTGTTAATGATGGTGCGTTTATGATTTTTTTACCAGATTCGGAGTAGCTTTCGAGAGGGATTTGACAGTGGAGGAGAAGGCCCTTCTGCTGGCTGCCACGCTGCTCATAGACTACATGTATTACGACGTGTGACACTTCAAATAATATATCGTAGAATCTTGAACGTGGTTTTTACTTCTTCCCGTCATAAAATCCTTCCATTTATAGAAACTAACGGATAGTAAGCTGATGTGGCAATGGGCCGGCCATATAGCTCGAAGTACCGACGACCGATGGGGGAAAAAGGTTTCAATTGACAGCCTCGTACCGGCAGGTGAAGTGTAAAGTGTCCTTCCACTAGATGGAGTGACGACCTGGTAAGACATGCAGGAAGTCAACGGATGCAGGTGGCTCGGGTCTGTGCTTTGTGGTATTCCTTGGGGGAGGCCTATGTTCAGCAGTGGACTTGTGAAACTTGTGTAATGATGATAATAGAAATTATGTACTAATATCACAATAACGTATTAACTACTCGTATAAACAGCCGCACAAACATATTTTATAAAACTTTAGTGACAAAATAAGTTACAATTAACCTGATGGTAAGTGGCTACTGCAGCCCATGGATACCTTTTTTTATAGGATAGGGTGACAAACGTGCACACAGTTAACCTGATGGTAAGTGGTTGCTGTGTCCCATAAACATCTACTTCTATCCTCAATTACGAATCAAAATGTAGATGCGTTGTCACCCGTGAGCACTAAGATGGAATGCCTCGTATCTAGTAAAAAGGATCTCCGGTTCTCTACACTCACCAACAGCATAGAGCTGCTATTTTACGCTGGTATTTTGTGAGAGCGTGGTCCTTCACCAGTCGAGCCGACCCACTCGTGTTACAACTGTACTAGCAATAGAGCTGCAGCATGGCTCTGCCACGTATAAAAACCAACTTTAAGCAAAGAAGGCTACAGCGATATTGTCACCTCTAAGGACTAATGTAGAATGCCTTACAGCATATAACTTTGTATACCTTCAGAACGGAACGTAGCAGTCCAAGCATTGCTATTTGATGGCAGAAATAGGTAAGAGGCATTCCAACTTAGTGCTCAGGAATGACAACGCATCTGCATTTTGATTCTTAATCAAGTATAGATGTAGATGTCTATGGGCACCAGCAACCACACACCACTAGATGGGCTGTTGTCAGTTTATCATCAACATCAACTTTTTTTAAACCATAGCTTAAACCCGAGACTAGCTATAAACTAACTGTAATAAGGAGGACGTAAGTCTAATGCCTTAATAATGGGTCTGGCCACCCAATTTCGTTAAGGGTATCAAAAAATTGTATAAAAAATTACGAATTCCACGGTATTCTTATTTTTTTTCTACCTTTAAAAATTACTGAAATATTGATGAGTAAAGAGGTGTTTTACGGTAAGGGCGACCGCTTTGCTCCGCATCGCGATGTGACGTCACAAACCGACACGTCGATGCCACCAGTAGTCTTTATTGTTATATTTTTCTTATTCTCTTCATATTTATTACTCCATATTTTTCTTGTCATGTTATTTATTTATCAGTAACCTTTATTTTCTGTTTTTTTTTTAATTTCTGTTATATCACGCTCCTTGGGAATAAAATGGTGACCTAAGATACAGGTTTTACTTAGTTTAGGCACCAGTTTTTCACCTATAGTATTGTATCAGATGTAAGCACATATTTTTTGTTTTCTGAATGTATATTGTTGGTGAAAATAAATAAATAAATAAAATAAAATAAAAATAAATTTAATTTTACAAAAAAAAATCATATAAAAGCAAATGTTCAATACTTTAGTTTATAATCAAATCAAATAGTTTATTTGTGATTCACAGTTTACATAAAGGTCTTATTTAAACACAAATAAAGTTCAGTCTGTGATCAGCCTCATGGGCATCATCATCATCATCATTACAGCCCTTCATAAGTCCACTGCTGAACATAGGCCTCCCCCAAGGAATGCCACAAAGTACGGTCCTGAGCCACCTGCATCCATCGACTTCCTGCATGTCTTAACAGATCGTCACACCATCTAGTGGGGGGTCGCCCTACACTTCGCCTACAGGTACGGGTCTGCCACTCGAGAACCTTTCTTCCCCATCGGTTGTCGGTTCTTCGAGCTATATGGCCGGCCCACTGCCACTTCAGCTTACTAATCCGTTGGGCTATGTCAGTTACTCTGGTTCCACTGCGGATATCCTTATTTCTAAGTTTATCACACAGAGAAACCCCAAGCATAGCCCTCTCCAATACTCGCTGAGCGACCTTGAGCTTCCTCATACGGTCAGCAGTGAAGGACCACGTCTCAGATCCGTAAGTCATCACTGGCAACACGCACTGGTTGTACAATTTCGTTGTCAGGTTTAGACGTATGTCTAACGAGAAGATGTGTCGTAGTTTCCCGAACGCTGCCCAGCCGAGTTGAATCCTCATGGGCATACAAATTTCAAATATTATTAATAGTTCATTGATTACATTATTCATAATAAAAGATTAGATTATTACATTAAATTATTCATCATAAATAATATTGATTACATTGGATTAGATTAGATTATTCATAAATTATTAGATCAAAATTATTATATAGTCGTTGGGTTTATTATAAGTATTATGTCATCTAATACAGTCAACCGGACATTAACTCTGACATTCGATATAATAGTAAACGACCATATACTTCCGAGCGCGCGGTTAGGACTGAACTTAGCAAGTTCCTACTGCACGTTCGTCACAGAGTAAGTAGTCGGTTTCTTTACTCATGTGCGTTCGCTCTCTCGGATTGTGACGTCACGTCACAGAGAACGAGCGGGTAAAAATTAAAAAATATTGCGAAACTTCAAAACGTTATAACTTTCGTATTTCTGCATCAATTTGGATGAAACAAAAACTATTGTTATTTTCATAAACATAGCTTTAAAGCTATATAGGTTTTATTGTCAAATTAGAACATGTTGGTGTGACCCATTGTGTGTTTAAATTACCATTCGTGTACTTGACTGTCCAAGACGAATGGTATTTGTGTGAGAAAATCTATTGCGCTATTTCGTTGTGTGGGTAGTTTGATATTACTGTTATTTGCCATAATCTACCCAGACCGACCCTAGCTAGGAAAGGAGTTTTACCATATAGTAAAATTGAGTACATATAAAATTATTACACTACTCAGTAACAACCAGGACATTCTAGATCTTATTCACCACCCTGTAAATCAGGCAGCAAGTCTAATACTGGAGATGGATTTCACTGTTTCTCGTTGTAGGGAAAATTTACCTTAACCACGGATTGGCCTTGTTTGTAACAGACTTGCTTGTAAATATAGGTGACAAACAAGCACACTGTCCACCTGACAATAAATGGGTGCTGTGACTCATAGACATCTACATCTATCCATAATTAAGAGTCAAAATGCAGCATGCGTTGCCACCACTGGAGACTCATGGAATACCTCTTACACTGTTGTTGGAGGGTCTTTACAATCACCATACGAAATGCAGTGGCACTACCGTGCATTTTTTGGGTTCCGTACCCAAAGGGTATCCAACGGGACCCTATTACTACGCCTCCGCTGTTCATCCTTCCGTCCGTCCGTCTGTCTGTCAGCGGGCTGTATGCTGTATCTCATGATCCGTAATAGGTAGACAGTTGAAATTTTCACAGAATGTGTGTTTCTGTTGCCGCTATAACAACGAATAATAATAATTAAAATGGGCTCCCCTACTAGAAACTTGTCTTACGATGGTACGGACCCCTTCATGCACGAGTCCGACTCGCACTTCGCCGGTTTTTTATGGAAGAGGAGGGAAACGAGAATATGGCTCACCTGGTTGTAAGTGATTACTTTCGGCCATGAACTCCTCCCACACCAGGGGAATTGCAGGTGCGTTGCCGGCATTCACGCTAGTAGTTTGTGATAGCATGGTCCTTCCTCGGCCAACCCATTCATGCTACAAACATAATATAGCTGCAGCGTGGCCCTGTTATGTATAAAAACTTTAATGCTGCTCCTCATTTACACCATGTATTTTACAATCGCAAAATTATAAAATACATTTTATTCAGTTTAGATACCTTTTGGGAAAATTAAAAGGAGGTTTGGCAGTCTGTTTTAACTGATATCAGTTAAAACAGACAGGTGGTGTCGTGACGTGGGGGAGATAACCACACTAAGATTTTTTCCTCTATTATGAAGGCAGTTTACATAAATAATTTTTACAAGAAGAAACATCTAGACCCGGAACAATTATTTGTAGGCAAATTAAATTACTGTTCCGTGCTGGATTCAAATACACAACTCTCAGCGCCGCTAAGTCGTCCAAAGTAAAAGTAAAGTATATCATAGTAATTGCCCACATGGGTTTGTAATTTTTTTTATTTAATTTTAAAAGTTATCCCATTAAATTCATTCATAAATCTGCATGTATGAACACATAAAATTTCTAACATTATATTTTAGACGGACATATTAACAATACTTCAGTATAAATGCATAATTCTTTTTTTTATCCAAAATGTCAATTTCCCCTTAAAAATTAATGTCCTGCACGCACCATACCACCCCTATTTGCATTGTATTTAAAAAGTTTTTTCCTCCGGCAGATGTCCGATGAGGTAAATGGTGCGAAATTTTGACAGAACGTATAATTTTGGCGCGCAACAATGACATATAGATGTTGCACAGTGTAAAAAAAAATCTTAATATCACGTTCTTTATTGAACCCTTTTCCAAAGGATTGCATTCAATTATACATTTCCCCGGCAAATAACGCCATAATGGGGTGTTTTTTTTTTCCACAGATTTTTGGAAAAACAACATCGGGGTGGCAGTTTATATAAGTAGGTCACTGGTTGCAATGTGAATTTAGTTTTTTTTTTTTTATTTCAAAGAACTAAACCGTGGCGCGAGCTTGTCACGTGTTCGGAAAAGCAAGGGTTTAAAAACACAATGGCATTTTAGAAAGTGATTTAAGAGTTTTTTTTTCGTTCGTTGATCTCGTAACGGATTTACTTTTTCAATAAAATTACGCTTTTTGTTAAAAATAGCTTCATTGTTAAAAAAAAATGTCGGGCATCAAGATTATCAATATTATTTTTGATTGATTGCTCATTG